CATACTCAGCTTCGTTTCTGTGATGACCACTTTAAGCGTACATGTGATGCTTGTGTATGTATTGTTTCTTTAACCCTAGCCCAAATGACGCATTTTTAAAAAATTACATGAAAAATTCTAAAACACGCTTAAACTATCGTTAATGGTATTTATCTAATGCCAAAACTTTATATTTATTATTGACATTCTCTGTGTAAACATTTTTATGGAGGGTCAAATTTCTTTCGCCTTCGGACTGGCCGGTTAGAGGGTTAATCTCCACAGTGTACTGTCAATTTCTCTCTCTTTTTTTGAAATACTGTCTCAAAAGTATCTAGATAGATTTCAAATATCTGAACCAAACACTGGCCGCACTGAACACATTTGTGTTTATATTATGAATGAGCGCAACACAAACGGCGGATATGGGAAACGCGTATTCGATATCTACTATATCAACTACAGTGAACAACATAGTAGCGGTAACGTTTTTACGCAATGATGCGATTTTAAATTTCCGATAAAACCTTATTTTGGCAATTATTAGTGTATCAATTCGCATTAGCGCAATGATTGACGTACTATGTAGGAGTGTCTCTCAATTTGAATCGAGATTCAAACAGGTGGTTGTTTCACTGTTCGTTATTCATTATTGTGTGTGTTATATCAATATGTAAATGATGGAAATTTTCACATTGTACAAATTGATATAATTTGCATTTGGTACCTTAAATATTAAAAGATTATCGATGTGGACTCACAGTCTAGAAAGCGTGTTTTATACAGAAACATTTTATTGTCGCATATTGGATTGCTCTCCTTCTTCACATGTGGAAAGAAATCATTATGTTGAAGGGAAATCCGAAATTAATTCAAATTAGATGCTTCTGAATCAAAGTTGCCATGGTTGCTACGTATTGAGTGGGGCAGATTCCTTCAGAACAGATCTCCAGGTACAGCTTCTTCCCTTATGATATAAGGCTTATATTATATTAATAACATATTTAATAAAATAATGGAATCTTTGCAAATATGCTATTAACATATTTTCAAACATAAAATTTGTTCCTATTTTTCTCTACACTGGCAATGCAATTTATTTGGCTCAATACTAGAAATACTAGCAGAATATTTGCATTTTTGTTTATATAAGAAGAAAGAAAAGAAACTAAAAGAAACTCAATACATATTAAATGAAACTAAATATACTAGAAATTGGTGTCTATCCCCTAGGGTGAATGGGTGAGGATTAAAGTGATTTTTTATAAAGTATATTATATTTTGTAACAAGACAATATTACTTACCTCAATATATGCACCGCTGCAGATATGTACTTTTTTATACGCGAGAATGAGAACCACGAACAATTAAACAACGATTATATTTTTATAAAAATTTGATCACAAATAGTAATTGTAATAAAAATGATGTATATGATAACATTACGTTTGCTGTCTATTTTTAGAAATTTTCTGGTGTTCGTATACAAACAAAATAACAAGAATCGAGATTGCAACACAAATACAAATTTTTTTAAAGCACGACATATTTTGATTTCCTGTATTTTCCACAATATTTTCGTTCGGTAATGTATCGTTAACGATTCTCACAAAAACTGGACGCTCACCGATATGATGATTATATGTAGCCATTCCAATTACCAAACTCCAAATGAATGAAATGGACTGAGTCTACATTACTCTAAGGTGAATTTGCTCTTTAACAGTTGAATTATGGCATTTGAAAAAATGGAAAATATGATTGCGCGTGGTGTAACAAACAAAACAGTATCGTTGTTGGAGAATAAATAAGCTCTTTCGTGATATCAATTGTTCAATTGTTTTTCGTCGTATTTAAGCGTTTTTGGCGGAGAAAATACTCGAACAGAATTTATTTTCACATGATTAAATAACAATTAAAATAAGCAAAATTGATATTTTTCCCTTGTGGAAATATTTCGACTTCATAGCCGACTATAAATTGACTAATTTGGGACAAAAACGGCTGATATTTCAGCCAGCCAAGTATATGAAATTGACTTTTGTCAACTATGTTGACTATAATCACTTTCAGTTTACTCTGAAACATAACCGACTATATTCGATTTCAATCATCTATTGGTAATTTTAACCGAATAAAAGTGATTAAAATTGACTTAATTTATAGTCAGTCAGTCCCGTCAGACTCATTTTTAACCGTCTTTAATGTTTAGTCATTTCATTTAAAGTTTGAAGGAAATTTAAAAAGTACAGGTCGTCATTTCGTTCATATGTATTTCGCCCAAAATTTTTGCAATTATGATAAATTTGAAAAAGTTCCAGCATAAAATTGTGCGTTCTATGAAATACAACTCAACATTCCGGCTAACCTTCGATTAATTCAGATTAAATAAATAATAATCCAATATTCCTATAACAAAGAATAATCCCTGACTAAACCCACTAATTTTATTTTCTCGTAACCTTTTAAGTACACTGCATTAAATTTGGGTTACAAAAAATGGTCTGGGATCTATATTTACCGTGCTTATTGTAGCAGCAAAATGAAGTGATATAAATGTAATATCAGTTGATCAAAATTGATTACAATGTAAATTGTTAACAAACATGTGGCACATTTCAATTTTTTATTGTTCGCTCGTGTATATGTAGTTATTAGTTACATTCATCTGGAGTTGTTATTAGTTAAATTTACATAAAATGAATGACAATTATCACATTATTTGACGTATATTCAGTTAGAATGATAATGATGTCACAAACTCTCAAACTATAAGTACATGTATTAACAAAGTGCATCTATTGTCTCATGAATAAAAAATGTGACAATAGAAAAGTATAATGATTTATTATTTAGTCTTTACATCAATTCGTGCAATATTATTTGATAAAAACATATGATATGAGAGAAAACACATGTGAGATAGAATGTCAATAATGCGGAACCAATATGATACCGACAAAAAAGGTTTATATTTTAGCTGAAAACGATTTTTTTCACAGAAACACAATGGATTAGATTTGTAAAAAAGCACACGTTTCATTTAAGTATTTGTAGAATTTTTCAATAGTACTGAAACTATAGGCTATGTGATGATAACCTCAGCATAACCAAACAACCTTGCAATAAAGAATTTTTCAATTCAGGTAAAAATGCGAACAATTTAGGAAATGAGGTTTACCTAATAAATAACACTTTTTTCAAAAGAAAACAATGGTCTGCTGAAAAACTGCAAACAAATTATATATGTTAGTCCCGGGACTTATCATCCTGCCTGTTAGAAAAGCGAATAAATATGAAGAAAACTGCCGGATCATTGTAAATTTGTTGACTTCAAATGAATCTTGTAAAGTAAACAAACATTCAATAAAATTCAACATTTGCAATTTTCGAAAGATTGCTATGTCGTAAAATCAATTTGATGAACGTTTTGAATAAAATTAATTAAAATGAAATAAACTCTGTCACAGTGGAAATGTGGTGTCGCTGCTGGGATATGATTGCGTTCAACATTTCTTTTAATTAAAAGCAAAAAGTAAACAGCTCATCTATATGACTCAGAAAAAATCGACTATAGACTCTTTGTTGCTCAATAAATTGGTTTGTAAAAAATAAAGTAATTTCCGTAAGATGGAAATTTTCGTTTTATCTTTTATCTTTTTATTATCAACGCAAACCATAAAATACTATTTCAAAATGATAGCAATTCGATCAACACATACATAGACAAATAAGGTGAGACGGTTTGTAAAGATCTCATGAAAAAGTAATAATGATATATTTGGCGAAAGTAATATTAAATGAACATAAACAGCTGTTCAAGACCAAATCAACTGTTCAGATATATTAAATCTAGTATATATTTTTTTCAAACACGGAATGCCCGGAAAGCAAGAATTATTAGTATCAGTTCAATAATAACAAAATTATAAACTAATATTTACTAAATAATACGTTATCTTAATTTAATTACAAAATACAATAGCAGAAACACAAACAATGCAAACAAAAAGATGTAAAGCATAAATTTTTGGTGTCCATTTCTGCCAAGCCGGGTGACACGATTCATTGTGTTTGAAAGGAAGCCACCAGTTCGGTCCATATCATCATCAATGCCCCGCAGTAACTTATCTTGATAGCGTACTTCATGCCCAATATCGATTGCTAATGAGTTCAGTACACCGATTTTTGCTTGAAGTTCCTCGGTTAGACGTTGATTTTCATTTTCGACATGATCATCTTTTGGCCGATTCGGTGCTTGGGATAACGGCTGATAACTATAACCTTGTGCACGACGCATTTGATTTCGAGCTAAATTGAATTGAAATCCAGATGAAAAAGCTGTAATGTAGGAATATTTTGTGAAATTATGAAAATAATCAATTTTTACTATGAAAAATAATTATAAAATGTCAAACGTTTTACTCACTTTTACTTGTTTATATTCACCACTTTCCAGTCAAGAAAGTATTTTTGGTATTATATTTTTTCCTCAATTTTTGTATTTTGTTTAACGATGATGTGTAAAATGTGTCATTCTAAGAGCTGTCAATGTCAATTCCTTTGCTTATTGTGATACAAAATACAGCGCCAAATTTATCGGTGGCGGAAAAAACGCTGTACTATCCAAGTGGAATGTTATACGTGACAGCTGATAATTTTGACAATTGACATAGGTTTTTTTGGTTTCATCACTCGTCCGAACGAAAACATTGTACGCAAAAAATAACTTTCCTTATCCGGATTCGAAAGTTTTTTGCTTGTATTTTGTTTTTGAAATAAAAAAAACTGCATCGAAAATGCCGGAAGGTTCGCCAGCCCGTAATGTGATTCAGCGAATGGTGAATTCGGCTTGTGAAATATTGGAGGGGCCCGTTGTCTGGTTCAGAGGTACTTAAAATGTTTATTAATATTTCTTAATTACATTTCTTTGAGTCGCTCCATATTTTGCGTGTAACCGTTTAAATCAATCCATTTACTTTTCAAAAATGTGGTGAATCTATTTGAAAAGTTTAACAAAAATGGCCTTAATTTTTCTTCTATAGAATACAGCAATTACATAACAGAAATGGATCTATATACCTAACCCCACTTTTTGTTTATATTTCATTTTTCGATAGAAACGATTGTAACACCAAACCAAAAACATTATCCATGGTATCACCAAAAGTTCCAACGTGTTCCAACTATTGACCAATGTTACACGGATGATCCATGCTGTTTCCATGAAGCCAATCAGCAGTTCCGACGCGATAAATTAGTCGACAATGAAATTTTGACCATTTTGCGTCAACGTTTTGAAGATTGTATTGCTTATGAAACACCGGATCACATAGAAAAATGCACCCCACTTTGGGATTACTATAAAAAAGCCGAAGCGAATTGGTTCTCCAAGTGTATGTTCATTTGCGTTTGAAACATTTTCTTTGAAATTGGCTGTTTTGTGATAATGATTTTTCGTTTCATTTTGCAGACGGTGATTTAGGATATTATGGCACTTCTGTAACTGCCTTAATGAAACAAAAGCACCGAATGATTTGGGAACGTCGTCACGGAAAGATCGGTTCAGGCCAAAAACAAATTGAACCGGAAACCGAGTAAAGAAAATCTTCTGGAAATTCGTTGATTCTGTGCATGAACACGAATATAATAGTGTTACTGATGAAATACAAGAACACTAGTAGATCCAATCTTTTGGTAAAGTTAAGAAACTAAATAAAAAAAACCGATATAAATTGAAATTGAGCTTGTTTTGTTATTTGCAAAATAGGAAATTCTTTATTCAAGCCTTCTTGAGGTCGTTGTTATTAAAATATTTGTTTCTTTTTCTAGTTTTTAAAATCATTTTTCTTTTTATGGTAATTTTCTAACAAAATTCGTCTACCTAATATTCTGACTGAATAAATACAAATTTATGTGAAAATTGGAAAATAATTCCTAGCTACTGAATGATTCTTAATCGTACTAAATAGCCACTCAGCAAATATTTACAAGTGGTTTATCCATCAGGCTCTTTTTTAATTTCGTGAGACCATTCGATCGTGGTTTGACGTCATTTGAACTTTTCGATCGTTGGCCGAGCGGAATGAATGTTTGATCGTGCAATTGTCGACGGAACATTTTATAGAAACGCAACACATCGGGATCGGCCCACACTTGTTTCATATCAAAATCCAAAATTCGAATGCTATCCAAACTTTGAGCACGTGACAATGCGACATACGCCTGACCCGCTTCAAATACCTTCGACAAAGACATCTCAACACAATCAAGTGTTAATCCTTGCGATTTATGAATTGAAAATGCCCATGCCAACTTCACTGGTATTTGTTTCCTCGTGATTAGCATACCGGCTATGGTAAAGAAAAGAACCGGATTTGAATTCGATATATTTCATTAGGAAATTTCACATGGAAATGTCAAAAATATAGAAAACATTGTAGAAACAAACCTGGCGTTTTAATGATCCATTTTTCCGGCTTGGCAGTGTATTGCTTATTATTTTTCATTTTCAAAATGGGCAATCCGCCATCAGTTGAAAATCCAGTCACAACACCGCGAGCACCATTTACTAAGCCATCGGACACGTTTATGTTTTTCAACAGCATTACTTGAGCACCAATTTTAAGCGTCAGTCGAGATGGTGCCATAACTTGGCTATCCAATTGCTTTGTGTATACTGAGTCACTGTCTTGAGCCTCAAAAACTCGTTGTTCCGTTTTCAGATTGGCCAATTTTGATTCATTTATCAAATTCGAGTCATTTGTGTGTGAGCATAGTTGAGTTGCCAAAATACCATTGACTTCGATCTTTTGCTTGGACGTTTGAATTAATCGCTTGGCTATATCATCATTTACATGACCCACACGAATGAAATTCAATATACGAATAAATTCGGGATCTTTTTGTCGATGCACTTGTTTCAGTTCATATGAAATGCTTATCACTTTTTGCCATGTTTCAGTCTGGAAGCAAAAACGCTTCGATTGAGATTGCTGCGATGCGTATGTAGTTTTGATGACCGGTGGAAGTTGCAAGAAATCACCACATAAAATCAATTGGATACCACCAAAGGGCTTGTCATTTTTGCGTATATTTCGAGCAACAGCTTCGATTTTCTGATGGGAGAAAAAAACACATAAAATTACTTATATTTCAAATACATACACTATCAAATGTGATCCCATTTTTTAAGATTTACTTAAGAGGAGTACCAAACCCAAAAGATTAACGAAAAAAACTCTTACTTCAAAGTATTCTCCATCGACCATGGATATTTCATCGATAATAAGACGCTTGCATTTTCGCCACGCTTGCGCTGCTGCTGGACGAGATGCCAAATCAATACAACGCTGTAAACCCGCATCGCCCGCTCCAATTCCACAAAATGAGTGTAATGTTACACCACCTGTAAATCATATCAACCAAAACATTTTGTCAGCATTTTTATCGCCACGGTTTCAAATTTACCTTATAGTTTATCTACATCTTACAATCTACATACCGATCAAACAAGCAGCAACACCAGTCGACGCAGTGGCAACGGTACCTGAAATACACAAATGATTTTTTATCAGTGCTCATTTTCATTGCAAATTGAATTCAAATGCAAAAAAGGTTTTTACCATCGGGTGGCAGTACGGAGATGATTTTTTTCAATAAAAAACTTTTGCCTGTGCCAGCGCTTCCAGTGAAAAACACATTTTTGCCATTAATACACGCTTTCAGAACTTCATTTTGTTCGTCGTTCAATCGAATTTGTGGTTCAACATCGACTGTGGGTCCGTTGTTGGCTTTCTTCATCAAATTTCCTCTGGCATTTGATTCACCATTTGCATCACGACCAACTTGATCAAATTTCCGTTTTTTCGATGGTGGTGATGGGGTGGTCGGCGTTGCCTTCGATATTCCAGCCATTTTCTTTGCTCTAGCTACCTCTAAATTAGTCACCGGGCTAATGTCATCGAATTTACTTGGATTTTCACTAAGCATTCGAGTACGTACATCTTGTAATTTTCCCGATCCATTTCCCTCTTGGCCATTTGCTGAAGTCATTTTTATGAACAACGTTCGTAAAAAATTCATCAACAAACCGGGCGGTGCATTGGAGGCATATAGCATACATTTATCACGATTAAATTTTATACTTGCTTTGCCTTCGCTCATAAATTTCTTGTGAACAATAATGTCACGAAGCAACAAACGTGCTGAGGTCGGTGACTTTTCGGTGCTTACTTCAATGAAGAGTTCACGTGTATCACTACGAACCAAACGCAATGTGGCCAATTTATGTGTTATTTTTCGTACACTTATTCCTTGTGTGTTTAACCAATCGATTATAATCGCACACGTTATCACAGTATCTTCCGAATTCATTTTTGATTTTTGATGCTACCAAATAAAAAAAAACGCAAAATATTCGAAAAATATTATTTGATTGAGTAAACTAAACACACACACACGCATCTCACGAGAAGACGCGCTAAAAAGCAGTTGTTCAGCTGTCGACAACATTCAAAACAATGATTAGCAGATGGAAGTACATTACTTTGCCGATAGACGCGCCACAGTTTGTGTACATAATTAAATAACATGGCATCGGATAACACTAAAGAAGAATGTTTGAGTTTATATTAATACAAATGCCGGTTTTCTGCCAAAGAAATGTGGAAAAAATGTAAGAAATGCAGTTGAAATTAGTAATTTTTTTTGAAAAAATTTAAAATGTCGCATAAATGAAATCATTCACAGAAATTCATTGTTCGGAAGCTTGTGTGCGATGAGAAGTTCAAGTTCACACAAGAACTTTATACATTAACGCACAGTCGAGGTATGAACCTGAGCTAAAAGGTTTTTTTCTCGGCTCATTAAGCTTGATTCATAAATTCTACATAATGCGAAGAAAAACAAGTCGAACAAACGAATTCTTGATAAACAAAAAAATGAAATAAAAATTCTTACAAAAATATGACGATAAACACACAATAAACGAAGAAAACAACCAAAAATTTAAAGAGATGAAATAAGAGTCATGCACATACAGGTGAATTGTTGAAATGTAAGAATCCATGTCATAAGAATAAATATGAAAAATAAAATTATTTAATTATAAAAATGTAAATTTAAGGCAAATATTATGTATAAAACAGTCTGCTACTCCCTTTTTTCTTACAGACTTGGAATAAATAATGTGACGGCAAACAAAGTCTGTTTTAACAGATTGTAAGCTTTGGATTGTGAATATAAATGGGTTTTTTTTGGAAAAATAAAAGCAATTTAGAAGTCTTGACCGATCGTGTGCAATCGAATCTCCAATTAAGGTAACCACGTTTAATTAAAGAAATTTGTGGTTAATTTGTTTTTGGCATACACTCTTACATGTTGTTGAACGTTGTTTTTCTTTTAATTTTCTTACTTTGTGGTTTCTGTATATATATAGCTGCGTAGCAGAAGCCATTAAAGAAACCACTCAGCCAGTGGAAATCACTATAGATCTGTTCTCGTCCAACATCAAACTCTCAAAAGTTTCCAATAATTTTATGTTTCAACAGTTTGGCTCTGGCTTCTAATCGCAAGTATCAAAACGATGTAATCTGACTGGATGGAGAAGTGTAGTTATATGTGTGTGGTTTTGAATGTCATCTAATTCAATTTTCATGTGTCTAGGTCTTTGAAATTGCTCCCTATCTACTTTTCCATCTCTTTCACTCTCACTCACCACCCAAGCCCATAAGCATTTGTCCGCGTGCTTGATCGGCGTATCCACTCGTGTTTTTTTGGTGCTACATCATCAGTTGTGAGCAATGTAATGATAGGCGCGCACAATGTATTTGGATACTGAATTTACTCCAACAACATCGTCATCATCATCATCATCCGAATGTATGTAGCCTTCCGATGAGAGCGTATGTACTAAACGAACATTGGTTGTATTTGAAACGCAAAATACATAAAATGCGCGCACACAAAAAGAAAATAGCCGCAAAAAAAGCGCCGAAAAAATATACATACAACTTCCACGGGCTGTATCCTAATGGGAAAAAAGGAGAAAGGAAAAAAAGTGGCGAACGCGACCACAACACAGCAGCAGCCAAACCCAGAAAATTCTGGTTCACTTGCTGTATGGCATTTTTGTGTGTGTATATTGTACACTGTACTCGAAGAATTCAGATATATGTTAGAACTGGATTATAATACAGACAAATTCTGCGATTCGATTCTCTTTTTTTGTTATTATTGCCTACTTTTTCTTCTAACTTTTGTATTGAACGTACAACGCCACATTGTACAAATATGCTGGTGTGTTTCTCTCTCTGTGTGTGTGCAGTCAGAGCGAGATATACTTGCGATTTCGATAGCATTCTCGTCACAACACAATAAGCAGTCATGGACAACATGAGGAACAACCAAAACTAAATGCAAAAATTGCAAAACATACGTATAACACACGATAATCGCAAATAGCGCCAAACTAGACGAATCTATTTGCTTAAAAGTTTATTTCGTCTTCTCTCTTTTCAAACAACATTCTCAACCACGCGCGCTGACTTGGATTACGTGCCGAATTGTAAATGCTAAGAGAAACACTCGAATTGCCTCGTATGCTAAAAGAGCACATATAACATATAGCATATATAATAAAGTGTAATGGAAATAGCAACCGGCACGAGATTCACATAGCCAAATCTCTCTCTCTCCCTCTTTCTCTTTCCATTTTGGCAAAGAGACAAGTCGCGCGCTCGCAACTGATGAGGCAAAATCCAAATTATGCGATATATTGTTGTTATAGCATTTTCAAATAGACGTAGACAACCTTCTTCAATTTGTGTGTGCGCCGCCACACCAACGCGCATACAATTTCGTCGTTGTCCCAATGTAAAAACGTTTCGAATATCATCGCGCGCGCTCGTTTACTCTCTTCTTCTCTCTTCCCCTAATTTTGTTCTTCTCTGCTTCTCTTTCTCATTTGTTCGCCTTACAATTGATATAAAATAATCGTACATTCTATTAGACTTGTCTGCTCTACATGACCTGTTCATCGTTCTTGTGTTCACAATTTAGATTGTTGAAAAAAATAAATAAAAAAAATAGAAGCAAACTAAGAAAAAGAATTGAATAGAATCATTGGGACATGTAAAATTGGATGGAATTTTGCATCGTAGAAATTCATCATTTTTTGAACTGTTTCGTTTGGAGCGAGGATGCGTACTGTATAAAATCAATAATTGGAAATGGTTTTTTTTTGCTATCAACTTAAAACAATTTTTAAACAAAATTGCAGTATAAGGACAAGATTTGATACCTATTTTGACCAATTTTCCGTTTGTGAATCTGAATGAAGCGCAAAGCAATCAAAACTAAATGAATGAATAAATTATGATAATTGCAAACATTCATATAAGTGTTGCGACTAGATTCAAAATCATTTGGCCACAATCAAGTTGAATGTTGACTTTGATTTTATTATTACCATTTCGTCGTCTGGTGTGTGTTGTTTTTTTTTCTTCAATCGCTCGCAATCATCACCATTCAAAACTATGGTATAGACGAATGTTACCAAAGTAGCGAATCTATTCATTTGGAATCATTATAAATTACCATTCAAACGATTCGCAAAACTTTGACTAGCGTAAGACAAAAGCGAGCGAGAGAGAGTGAGGCAGCGGGAGAGGGAGAGAGAAGGCTACGTTCATTGGCAAGCGAATAGAGCAAAATTGCGCGACGACACGCAAAAATATAGATAAAAAAAAACAACACAACAAAACATACGAAAATGAATAGAATCAAAAGAAGAGAAAAGAAAAACAAAACACACATCCATACACAAACACATGCCAAATGCTCAGCATGACATTATTAGAAAAACGGCGAACAAGAGAGGAAAAAAAAGAGTTTCGTTTTTTATACTGTCGTTCGCTTTTGGATTCATCTGCTATGGCCAATTGATTATATATTGGATTATTGATGACTATGACTGTGCAAATACGAAATGCGCGAATATGAGTACAGCGGTGTACGTAGTAAGTATGTGTGCGTGTGTGCATTTACGTTGTCTGTGTGTATTTGTCTAATGTCGGCCTTTTTTCATGTGCTCGCAAAGCCGACACATCAATGCAATGTGATTAGACGAACAAAATAGCAAGCGAACGGGACAGAGAGAGAGCAAGAGAGTGGATGGCAAATAGAACAAAAACAAAATCGGTTGAGTCTTTAGCTTACCACTATTTGAACTACGTTTATATCGATTGCTCGTTGTTTGTCGCCATTTAAAGTGCACACCGAAAACCGCGAAACGCGCGCGTGAGTCGTCGTACTTGTATAATGTACATAGCATATATTCCTACAAACAACCAGAGCGAGGAGCAAAGAGACTAAGAAGTAGTGAAAAAAAGAACCGAATCAGCAACACGAAAAAAAAGCAAAACGAGCAACAACATCTGTATATGTGTCTATATGTCGTCGCATAAGTTCGTTAGTGGAAGCCGCCATAACAAAGTCAACTTCTGTATATTTTAATATTCAACGCTAGTCCGAGTATGTGAATACATTTGCGTCGCGCAACAACGCTCACATGTGTGTGGGAACTGTGCTGATGTTGCTGCCACCGCTGCAATATACATTATATAGCGAGCTAATCTCAGTGGTTTAGCCGATACAGTCGAATCGCTTTGGACTGTACACTCGTCAGCGGCGACGGCTCTCAATCTACACATACTCGCTTCACTCGTTTCGCGCGCGTACTCGCTTACATGGAAACGTTTGTCTGTCTAGTATGTCGCATATTCTAAGAACCGACGTTCTATTGACCAGCATGAAATTATACGCGTTACTAAGCCTCTGAATCATTGACTAATTTAAGAACGCTTCTTTTTATTATGATTTTTTTGTCTCCAATTTTATTATTGATTTTTCATTCAATTTTCAGAAAATTTTATTATTTGTATTAATTTGTCTTTTTTGAAGATATTTTTTTTGTGAAAACTACAACAAAAAAAAATTGAAAAAAAAAAAATTAAATAAAATTATTGTGAAAAGTTCAATTTTCATTGCGTCAGAAAAAAAATTATAAAAATTAAAATCCGCCTTGAAATTAAGAGGGCAATACAAATTTGGAGCAGAAAGTAATTCAGACACTGTTTATCACATACAGTGCAATTTCGATAAGTATTACAGTGGCTCGGCACTTTAGACGTGTTTGTAGAATCGTCTGGCGACGAGTGGGATGGATAGAATGAATTGATTGCGCAAACGAATGAGTTCGAAGCGAGAACACTGCATTACTGCTTGAAGCAGACAATATGAGCAGGAGCGAACCAGACAAGTAAATATTGCACATACACATGGAAAATAGCGCGAAGCGTCTGCAAGAGCTGACAAATACTGTGCTATTATCGTACTATATACACAACTGAAAACATATTTATTCCACACAACCGCCAATGTTACGCATATAATCGCATACATAAGAAGAAGCGAGAGAGAAAGAGAAAAAAGTGACGAAGAGAATAGCGCGCGCGTTTGAGTCATAACATAGGCTGCGAATACATCGAGAACAGTACGACCAAACACATATACATGTATTGTTTTGAATGCCGCTATATCGCCGCCGCCGTCATCATCATCATCATCACATCCATACACAGTGTGTTTTGTTGGTGGAAGACAGACACGACACGCAGACATGGCTCGCACACATCGAAACATTGAATGCGCCGAGACAATACGTATACGATATACACACAACTACAATGAAAACCGTAGCACGGCACATAGAGGTTGCGTATTTTGCCAGACATTTTATTTAAAACAGAAATATTCTGTTGATCAAAGTGAACGGAACCGTTCGGTTGTTTTTCTGTCGCACATAGAAAAGTTAACGAACAGAACAAGTCACATACAGTGTACAATAGTTAGAGACAGACATAGCAGCATCAATACAATTGGCTAATATAAAACAGATAACGAATATAAATAAATCTATCGTTTAAGAATAAGCAATAGAAGGAAAACTAACAATAATAAAAAAATATATAGCTGAGAGTCTAAAAATAAAGTTTGGAATTTGTGATTGATTGAAGGTGACAAAGTTGACTTCCGATGTTGTTTCATTGATTTTTTTTTTTTTTGCTGTTTTCGGACATAAAAAAAAGTTCATAATTAATACTGTAACCGACACTCAATCAGCAGGACGTCATCTATTCAAATTCATTGATATTTATCACTTCAACTCCTTCGATTGAATAAATTTGAATGGACACAAAAAAAAAAATACATACGACTTCTGGAACTTAATTTGAAAAGTGTATACCGAAGTGATTGATCTCGATTCATTTTTTTTTTGCCGGAACAAAGTGTGCGATTCAATGTGAACAAAAACGAAACCTACAAATCATACACACAATGAATGAAACCGTGTTTGACAAAAGAAACCAGAAGAATCATTGAGTGTAAATTAATTTCATTGACGAAATCAAAACTCGGAAAAGTGTTGTTTGTGCACATCGCAGAGTTGAATTGATAAACAGTATGAGCTAAAGAATCGATTCGACAGAAACAAATTCCGTAAATAGTAAACAAATCGAAAATAACACACAATAATACAATACGAAATAAAACGAGTAAAAATTTTCGCATGCAGATAAGCCGATCGCTCACAGACAAATAATAAACATTTAAATCAAGGAAGCTTTGTGTCAATAAAAACCGAAGTGAACGAGACCGAAATAAATTCAGCACCGTAAAATTTTGTGTAATCTCATTCGGTTTGATTGAAAACAAGCACGGTGAAGAAAAAAAAATTAAAAGACAAACACACCTGAGACACCCATCATTAATCTGAATCTTCCAAAGTTCAAAATAAAAAAAGAGAATATACTTTTAAATAAAAAAACCAGTTTTTCAGCGCGCGCGCTTACACACAGACACCACTAAATAAGGAAACAATTTGCAAAAAAAAAAAGATAGATCGATTCGTGTGAAACGGTGTGTATGTGATTGATAATCATTGCGTGAGTGGCAAATATCAAATGACCGTATGACCGTTTTAGTTCATCACACTTCATTCGAGGCTTTCTCACTCACTCTCTATCTCGCTCACTTCATGCACTTAACATTATCGGTGCGCGACTCATTTATCTAGAGCATTTCAATTAATTGTAATCGCGTATTTTCATTTTGGTTTCTGTTTCTCATTCTCTTTTATATTCCTGAACGACAAAAATATATCAGAATACACAAAGGAGAAATAAATAGCATATAATCAGAACGGTCTCTTTTTTTCTCGCACTCTCTATTTGCCGGTTCATAAAAATATCGTCTGAATCGTTTGAATGACGAAAAAAAGTACATAGCAGCAGCAGCCACGGCAGAAAACAAAAATTATATTGTTACAAATTAATGGCACACATGAAAACGACACAATATATTGGTACGATTGTGTGTTATTGTTTTACGTGGATAAATGAAGTGATGACTACGATTTAATAAATGCAAAGTGTTTTGATTGTATGCGTTTGTTATCAATTCATGAGAGAGTGACACATTGTGGCATACATCATCGTAGTTCAAAGTGACTTTAAATTGAGAACGGCAAAGAAAAAAAAAACTAAAACCACCAATTAAAAAGAACTAAATTGAGCTAAAGAACAGAATAGAAATTAAAAGAAAAAACATATTGAAAAAGCGAGATATACAAAAACCGGGTGTTAATTTGCTAGTGACAACGTTGTTTTAACGAAAGAAATTGCCCATTGTTTTTTTTCTCTTCGCTCGTATGACTGTGGATATAATCTGTGGTTAAAGAAAGCATTAAAACACATAGAAAAATAAAGCAGAATACATCAACATCAAACATCCGGCAAAATGGATAAATCATTTGATTGTTTTAAATTTTGCATTGGTTTCATTTCATCACGAAGCGTTCGACGATCAACAGTGATGATTTTGCACGAATAGAAACTAAGAACATAACAAAACAAGCTACGGCAGCATTGTGAAGAAAAAGATCGATTCAATCGATTTACGGAGAAAGAAGAAGCTGAAGTGTGAATAAGTTTGAAAAGACACGTATACACGTCCTAAGAGAGGCGGACAAGCGAAATTTTTTTTAAAAGTGACTAAATCAACGTTAAAATCTTCTCCGTGAATTCTGAAAGAAGAAATTAAATTAAGCGGTATCGAACAATTGCATAGAAACAAAAAAGAGAATAGAAATCCCACATTCACATCCACACAAACACATACAACGAAAATGAATGAATTTGTGACACCACATTTGCGTAGCGTGTTGAAAATTTACCAAGACAGTGCAACAAAAAGTTTGCAAGGTCCTGGCTCATCAATTGTCGTACATTCATCGGCGATGAAGAAAGAAATCCCATCACCAGATTTACGCGATGAGCCAATAACACCGGCTGCACCGCCACTCCAACCGCCCGAAATACCACAACCAGTACTATCAGCTGCCGATACCGGTCGCAGCATTCTATACGAAACCATATTGGAAGGCAAACAAATTGGATGCTTTTTACTTGGCGGTGAAATGCGTTTGTGCTTTCCACAAGTGTTGAACAATGTGCTTATGAATTTCGGTTTGGATCAAATTAATCGCATATTTGATGAATTGCGCATATTTTGTTCACAATGTTCACCAGATCAATTGAATCAATTTAAAGCCGCCAAAATTTTACCCGAAGATGTAAATACATCCGGTTTAATAACACGCACCAATGCCGAACGCTTGTGCAGTGCACTATTGCATCGTGGCGAACGAGCGCCCATTGTAAAAAATGCCATTTCATTTCGAGTAATTCATCGATGCTTTGGAAAATGCGAAGGCATTTGCACACCTGAATTTTACTCGTACAAAGATCCAGCATGCATTCGATGCATTGAATGCAATTTGATGTTTTCACCGCAACGTTTCGTATGCCATGTGCATTCAAACCAAGAGAATAGCACACTACATTGGGGCTTTGATTCAAACAATTGGCGCGCTTATTTACAAGTATCCGAAGATGAAGAAAATCGAGAAAAATACACAGCTTTATTGGACGAGCTACGAGAACGAGAACAACGCGACATGGTAATCGCATTGAATATTCAACGGGATGACAGCAATCTTAAACGAAAGGTAAGCACATTCTTTCTTTCTCTCGAAAACACATTTTAAAAGATTATCATCAGCTCAGTGTTTTTTTTCTACAACGAAAGTTTTGACGAAGACGATGAAAAACGAACACATACACGAATCTAATCGATAAATATTTTCTTTAAGCGATAAAGCTTCAGGACTCACAGTCGTTTAATCTTTATGTGTTGAAGATTAATGTAGCTTTTGTGTAATTTTCACAATCAAGAGTAAAATATTTTGTCAAAGCGATAAAATGCCGTTAGATGTTGTCTTTCTTTTCTCAATAAAATAATTAAGATAAATAACAATCAAGAGAGTTGCTACTAGATAAATTCAATCGATGTATGGGTAAATTCATTCATTTGTTTGTTGAAAATAATACCGCTTCACTTTAGATAATTAACTAACAATATATGTTAACTATGCAAAACGAGAGCCCAGCACTCTGCCTACATTTTTTTTAAACCTCAAACACACATGCATTCCAATACAAAAACGTCAGAAATGATAGTAATTATTTGTAATATGTGCCATTGAATTGTTTCTGTAAATGCTGTAAAACATATCACGGCAACCGTATTCATCCAACAGTCCGTAATAGCTTGAGCTACGTTGTACAAATGAATGAAGTGAGTGAGTGGCACCCATTCTTCGCAATCGAAACGTCGATCAGAATCAGTGATAAAAAACGTATCAATAAATAATAACATTAATGCTACATTGAAATCAAGAAAAGCTCATAAAAAACGCAGTCAAACCGTCTCTACAATCATTTTTGCTGTTGTTGTTTGTTCCATTCTCTATCTCATGCTTGATAGATGCGTCAAGAGATGTGCGAATAAGACACCGTCACTCTATATATATGTATAAATATAATGAGAGCGTTCGTGTGCACAAACAAACGTACGCATCAAGTCTAAACTAATAATAACTTTAACGTCTCTCACTAAAATTCAATTTATTTGTTTTTGTTTACTTATTTCTAATGAGAGCTCTATAGAGTATAGTGATAACTTACACAGACAGGATCAGGCATATAATGGTCGCTATTTATTCGGCCATATTTTTCAACGATAGTTGATTTTTTGTTGTTGGGTGTGCTGCCGTTTTTCTTCGGCTGTTGTTTCGTGTATATACTATTTATTCACAAGATATCTCAAACGCGGCAATAAACAAACACTTACACGGCACCCTGATTGCGAAATTGCTTTTTGGTTCAATCGTTTGGCGCATTTATATTTATTATGGCTTTCTGCGATTTCTTGCACTTACTTGAAAAATTATAAATTTAGAACGATTTCTTACATCGTCGACGTTGCCGTCGCTGTCGCCGTCATCATCAACATCATCGTTTGAACGAGTGGCGTTGTTGTTTTTCGGACTTGTTACACGCCGTTTTTTTCTTCTTCTTCTCATATCAGAACATCTCGATTTCGCACGGTTGAGATGTAAAATATCAAAATCCATCTAATCTAATGACTGTAATAAAAATCGGATCTCTGGCAGTGCACGCACATTTACTTTGTATATGTGATGTAACGCACACACACACAACAATCCCATCCAAATTATAACGGTCAAGTGTTTATAAATATCTATTTGCATTCACGATGTGAACAAGAGCAAGCGACGGAAAAATTCGCCGCTTTTTAAATCATAATAATCAATTTGATTCGGTGCAAAAACTATAATTGTTTTGATTGCACTAGTCGCCGTGCCCAATGTACACAACAAAATCGCATTAATTTATCGAAGAGAAACGTCACTTTTTATGCATACATCTCTCTTTTCTTTGGCTGTGATGAACACATTAACTAGATTAATTGGGTTAGTTTCGATATTTTTCATCGAATGACGGCGACGACGATTGAAAAAAAAAAAAGTAAGTGAAACGAGCACGCGGCCAACAGTGAATCGAAATATTCGCCCATTTGTGAGTGCGTGATTTTTTTTGCTGAAACGACAAACGAAGGAATAGAATATAATTGTTTATGTTTATGCATTTCGGGCTCACAAGTACTTCAACCGATCATAAATTGTGTGTGCTTGAATTAGGACACATTTTACTTGGATTTCATAAATCGTGTTTGTGGTTCTACTGAACGAATCGCCCAATGATTCGTTGAAATTACAATATTTTTTTTCTCGCCATTTCTGAAGTTTGTTTACGCATCGGTTTGCATACATCATTTTCAAAATTCCAAATAAAAAAGCGGTTCTAAAATGCCGGACAACAGAGTGTGGCCCGCCAAAAAAATTATGCTCAATGTTTTAATAAAAATTTGGCGTTTTTTTCCGTCTTGAATTTATTTCTCACTTTTTTTTTCATGAATATTTTACGCCTCGAAACATCGCTCACACACAAATTCAGACCGAAAATATTTCTATAAATAAAAATTTCGCCGCTATTTTACGCACTCCGCCACGCCGCGCGACAACAATTACCAAATAGCATTTTCTACGACACTATTCTGTCTACACTTTGCAAGTAAATTGTAATTTTGATTGCTCACGACATACTGAAAAATTATCGCGTTTTCGTTGCCATTCTGGCTGTATCTATAAATACATATGTGTAAACATGGCAAAAAGGAAGAAACGAATAAAATAGAAATAAAATAAGAAGAAAAACAAACAGAAACGAAACAAAAGTTAGAAGCACACATACACATACACATAAAACTGTGTTCTTTCTTGAATATATCACCTTTTTCTCATCTTTTTGCCTGCAACTGTTCATCATTTTCAAAAGTCAAAAATATAATATTCAGTGATTTAGAGATGAATCGCGACGACGACGACGACGACAAAGATTCTCAAGCGGATGGATTTTTGAAACGACCTGACTTAATTCTTTCACTCTCACTCACACCCTGCACACATTTCAACATTCCATATCACCTTCTTTTTTCTCTCACATTGAAAAAAATATATGTGTGAAAAAAGCATGTGATGGAAACAAGAACATGAGTTTTTTTTTGTTAGTTTTTCACGCGAGATGTTATTTGGAATGCAAAGCAGACATTTCGACGCTAATAAATTTCAGTTACATTACATTACATTGGCACGGGCTAAATGTTGTTTGGTAAATCTTTTTCTTATTCTTACAGTTTCGTTTTGTTGTTGTTGTTATTGTTATTGTGTTGTTTCGGTTTCGGCTATAAAAGCCGTAAATGTGAGCGCGCACAAGAGGTTTGAGATCGTAAAAACCATCTATTTTGGGATTTTGCCGGGCCAAATAACTAACGGGCTAGTTCAAAATCATTTCAAACATAATAGCTGTTGGTTTGCCTGAGGCAAAAGTGCCACTCCAAGACAATTTTTTGCTTTTATTATTTATTTAATATCACTTTCGGCCCATTCAAAAACACATTCTATAAAACATGCAACAAAACGTCGTTTGTGCATGCGTTTTTGTTTTTATTATATATGGTTTTGGCACATGCGATTTAATGGAAAATAATCGCCTTCATTGATGTGTGATTTGTATCGTATGCTTAAATGTGATGGAGCATATGATTATGTGACTCAGACGAAAAATTTGTTAACTAGCATTTTCGAGCATTTAATGGTAGATTTCTTTTTTCGTATTTGTCTTCATGCCAACCGGCGTAGAATTGTTTCCCTTGTGTATGCGACAAGTATACAGAGAAAAAAACTTCGATTGCTTGACATGCAACGATTTCGATTTAAAATAAAAGTCAGTTGTCGAATGATTCAATTTTGAGGCGATTTGAGAATTTACTGTGCTCGAGTTCATGGCAGTGTTTTCGGTCGCATAAATTATGTTCGTAATTGATGGTGTTTTGTTCCCTTGAACAATTTCGATAGACACATCAAAAATCCGATTTGCCTTCGAAATAGACACAACTAATAAAATGAAAAAAAGAAGAAAAATGACGGCTGATTGGGAAATAAAGAAGAAAAAAAGAAAAGTAAAATATTCGGCACCGCCGTGATTTTTCCGTCGCTGTTAGTCAGTTTAACAACCGTCAAAGGAATGCGTATTTTGACGGTAAAAATTAGATTTAGTTGAGTGGATTTTCACGATGTTCAATTCATCATCGTTGCTAGACGAGAGCGATAAAATGTGTTGTTGTTGTTAAAAAAGGGCCGATTGAAAATAATGGCGAAAAATCATTCGATTCGAATATAATTTGGCGAACGAGTGTGTTCGAGTGTGAGAGAACAAGCAGACAAAGTTATCTTTTCGGGGGGAAAACTATAAAAGCCATAATAATAAATCAAATGGCAAACAAACGAAAAGACACACTATTCGACGGCGACTAAAGTGCGAACGAGACAAGCACACCGCACACACACACATATTCGAAAGAAGAGAAAAGAAAAACAACACACAGTGGAACAAAAAATATCTAAAGGAAAAACTTTGTTGAATGTTTAATGGTTTTCGTCTCATCCGAGTTACATAAAAGAAATATAGACACTCGCGCGACTTTACTTTGAAAATGGATGAGCATCATCACATAGTATTTTAATGTCTGAAAATTTACTCGACTCGTTGTTCGTTTTTGTTTTTGGTTTTTGTTACTGTGTTGCTCGATTGCAGTGTTGAATGTCGTGTTTCGAGAGTGTTTGTCGTTGTGTCTATGCTATTTTAATGGTTGGCAATTAAATGCATTTTTCTGAAAATGAAAATTTATGATCGCCATTGCTTCAACCATTCGAAATGTACACACAAAAGAAAACACGCATTAAAAACAACGATCATTTCAATCCAACAGACACATACATGATACAAAGTTTATATTGCATAAAATGGGAGAAGAACACGATGCGCACGCACTTAAGAACACAACGAACCATTCTTTAATCTGTAATAAATTTCGGATTTAATTTAAATTGCCATGGCATATGTCAATAAAAATTGAGGACAGATCAAGACGACCGCTGCCATATAGCTAAAATTAAGCCCTCGTTTGCGCTGCATTCTTTCCCAAATCGAAGAAACGCACAGCATCTCGTTCCTCTATACTCAC